GAAGGGCTGGAGGGGGGGTTTGGGGCTGGGGGAGTGAAGTCTGGGGTTTGGAAGTGGGGGACTGGAAGGGGTTTTGGAGTAGGGTTTGGGGGTGTTCTGGGGAGGTGGAGGGGTCTAGGAGGAAGTTCAGGGCTTTGGGACTGGGAGTCTAGAAGGCTGGGTTGGTCCAGGGTGGCTTCTGGTCTGGGGCGATCTGTCCAGGGTAGTTTCTGGGGTGGCTAGTGGGGTGGGGAGGAGCTGGGATGGGTTCTAGGCTAGGATGTGGGGGCCCAGGGGGGGAAATGTTCAGGGTGACTTCTGGGGTGGCTGGTAGGGAGTCCTGGGGTGGGTTCTGTGCTGGGATTCAGGGGTCCTGAGGTGGGGGGGTGTCCTGGAGGCTTGATGGGTTCTGGGATGGGGCTTGGGGGTGCCTGAGGGGCCCCTGGCTTGGGTGCTGTACAATAAGACCTGTATTTTCTGTGCATATCTGTGCTGTGGATTTGGAGTCAATGACTTTGAGTTTTGCTGCCTTTTAATGACCTGCCTGTGGCATCCTGGCATGCTCCTCCCCCCAGCACGTGCCTGGGGTCCCGGGGCTGGAGGGCCACTCACAGGGGGCCAGATTTTGCATGAAGGGGAAAATTTGGGGGAGGGAAGCTTTACAAAAAACAAAACAAAAAAAATGTAAAAAAACCCAAACAACTGCCTGGGGACATGGAGGAAGGGGAGGGGGTACCGGGCAGGTGGGACCACGGGGGAGCTCCAAGCCTCCACCCCCAATGAACAGGGGTTGGGGCTGTGATGAACTGTGTCATAAAAGCAAAACGGGGCGGGGGGAAAAAAGAGTTTAAAAAACAAAACTTGGATTCTGTGGTTTTCTTTGCCAGGGGTTGAGGGGCCTTGTGTCGCCAGCAGCACCGGGGAGGCCTCCCCTAGAGCGCAGGGTCCAGCTCTGGGCCTCGCACTTCAAGAAGGACATGGGCAGACTGGAAAGAGTCCAGTGCAGCAAACATGGGGGAGTGGGGGACAGGCTAGGAGATGAGACTGATGGGGAAAGGCTGAAAGAACAGGTTATTTAGTCAGGGGAAGAGAAGGCTGAAGGGGATTTTATCACAGTCTTCAAATACCTAATGGTCAATGACAGAAAGGATGGAGATGAGCTTTTCTCTGCAGCTACAGGGAACAGGACAGGACTAGGAACAATGAACTCAAGCTGCAGCAGGGGGAATTCGGGTTGAAGATGAGGAGGAACTTTATGACTGAAGGTGGTCAAGCATTGGGACAGGCTGCCTAGAGAAGCTGGGATCTCCATCCTTGGAAGGGATGGAGCAGGGTGGACAGACACTTGGCTGGGATGGTTTAGTCAGGGATGCTGCTGCCTTGAGTATGAGGCTGGATTAGCTGTGACCTTTTTCTACCCAAGAGGTAGCTGCATCTCAGTAGTGGAGGAGTGATCACTCCATAAATAGCCCCTGATGTGCCCCACTCCAGACCTGGCTGCATCTCTGCTGGCTGAAGGGGGTACCTATATTGGCACCCTCCAACGTGCCCCACCCAAGAAGTGGCTGCATCTCAGCCCCTGGAGATCTCCCTTTCCCTGTGCTCCCATGGACTGCAGGACACGCAGGTCTGGGGGCATCACAGCTTTTATTGAGGGAAACGGGGATTAACCATACAAAATGCAGAGTTGGGGGAGGAGGGGAGGGTTGAGTTCACACCAGGGGCCTGGGCACCTGGACTGGTTGGGGGGGCAAAATTGGGCATGGAGGGCTCCAGCCTGGTGGGGATCTGAAGGGGGTGTACCAGGGCCTGGGGCTTGAAGGGGAGGGTCCCAGGTCACTGCCCCATCAACTGGGGGTCCTTGTCACTGCAGCAGTTGTTCCCCCCTATGCTGAAATGAAGCCCAATGGAGGGCTTGAGGGGGGGTGGGGGTTGGGTCAGCAGTGGGTACAAGGTCAGGGGTACAGGGACTCCCCCCCCCCATGTCGCATCTCAATCCAGACGGGTCAGACTGATACCCCCCTACACAAGCCCAGATGAGGAAGAGGCCCGTCCAGCTGAGTGGGCACCTTGGATCCTAAAGGTCAGAGGTCACCTAGGGCCTTCCCCCACTTTTTCCCCTGGATCACAGCTCCCTCACTGCTCCTGTCGTTCAAAGATGGTGGCGATCATTCTGGGGGTGGGGGGGAGAGGAAAGAATTAAACTCCTTACTGCCCCATCCCCATCCCTTTTTAACCCCTTGCCTCTTTCTATCCACCCCCTTCCAGGATCTGCCCTTTTCCAGGATCACCAGGGGGCACTGCAAGGGGATGGGAGGTCACTCACTGAAACAAGGCCCCAGACATCTCATCCACTATGCTCCCTGCAAAACACAAGAATGGGGGGGTCAGACCCTAGTAGAACCCCCTTCCCCATCCCAGCCAGGTGGCTATCAGGTGTTGGGAGTCAGGGGCTCACCTGGCTGGCAGGCAGTCTCACAGACTGGGCACATGTAGCAGAAGTGGCAGTGCTACAAGGGAGACGAGATGGGCAGGTGAGTTACGGTGAAGGCACTGTTGGGAGGAAGCTCTCAGCACTAGGGGAAAGGTCCCAAGACCGGGCACTGTTTTGGGGAAGTTTGCAGCACCCAGGCTGTCATCCAGAGGAGCTAGCAGGGTTGGGACACTGCCAGGGGAAGCTTGCAACATGAAGGCATGGTCAGGGGGAACCTCACAGTGTGGTGCACTGTCAGGAGGAAGCTCACAGCACCAAGGCACTGCTGAAGGGAAGCTTACAGAACCCAGGGCACTGTCAGGAGGAAGCTCACAGTATCAGGGCTCTATAGAGCTTGCACCAGACAGCACCAAGGCACTGTCAGGGAGAAGCTCGCAGCACCAGGGCAGTGTTGGGGGAAGCTCGCAGCACGTACCTGACAGGCCTCGCAGTAGGGGCTGGCATCACCTTCCAGGCAGGGGCACTTGTCACACTCCCCGCAGTGCTGTGAGGAAACACCAGGGGGGTGCGTTAATGCCAGGCTCACTGCCCCCAACCCTGGACCAGGGTGGGGGATGAGGGGACTGGGCAGACAGCCTCTGCCTCAAGGGTTGGGGGCTCCAGATGAGTCCAGGACTGTATTGCTCAGCAGCTGGGGGGCAGAGATGCTGGGCCCCCAGGCAAAGATTGGGATGCAGCATGCCCACTTCCCTCAGGGAACCTTTGGAGGGTTGGGGGGGTGTCCAGGGTAAATGGGGGCAGAGCAGGTGTCTGTGGACACAGGCTGAAGTCTAGGGGGGAGCAGGGGTCGAGGGATAGGGCTGGGGTCTGGGGCAGATTAGGGGTCTGAGAGGCACAGGTCAGGGACTGCAGGGGGCAGAGTAGGGTCTGGGAGTATAGGTTGAGACCTGGGGGCACAGGCTGGGGTCTGCAGAGCTGGGCAGGGTCTGGGGGTGCAGCGTAGGGGACACAGGGAGCCCTGCTCACCTTGCAGAACTCACAGTACTGGCACACGGAGCCTGGCTGGTACTCCTCCTCTCCCTCCTCCTCCTCCTCCTCTGCAACAAGAGGCACAGCTACTGCCAGGACACCTGGGTTCTCTCCCAGCTCCTAGTGTGGGGAGGGGGTCTGATAGTTTGGGAGAAGGGGAGGGGCACTGGAAACCTGGATACCTGGGTTCTTGCTCAGCTCTCCAAGGGTAGGGGTTTGGGAGCAAGGAGTTCTGGTGGGTTTGAGCAGAGCTGTTCTGGGAGCCAGGATGCCTGGGTTCTCTTCCAGCTGTGCGCCAACCTTTTACCTGTCCCCTTCCATGAAGACAGCATCCACCCACCTCTCACTTCAACCCCTGGGGGATGTTGAACAGGGCTCCTCCTACCCTTGGCCAGATTCTGCCCTCAGGGGGTGGGGGGCCCTGATTCAGTGATCAGTGCTTACCCTCAGCCCATAGGCATCCTACTGGGTTCCCCCAAGTGTCCCATAGGCAGCCAGGACACCCACGCTGCCCCATGGTGTGGAGCTTAGTCCCTATACCCTGCAGTTCAAATGCCCTTACTCTGCCCCCACTACCCCCAGCCCACCTCCCCTGGCCTGTGCTCCCACCCTGCCCTACAGTACCTCAGTGCACACATCCCTACCCCATGTGCCCCTTTCTCCCCATTTGGACCTGCTCTGCTCCCCCAGCACTGTGGGTCTTCTGACCTTCCTCCTCCTTTTTCTCCTCCTTGCGATGCTCTCGGACCCGGTGCCCTTCCTTGCCATGTCCTTCCTCTTCCTCCTCTTCCTCTGACTCATCAGACTCATCCTCTTCCTCATCCCTGTGGTGCTTCCTCACACCCTCTTCCTCATCCTCCTCTTCCTCAGACTCATCATCGTCCTCCTCAGTAGACTTGATATCATGACCATGGTGGCGAGGGGTGTCCTTGTCCTCATCATCATTGTCATCCTTGTCCTTGTGGTGATGATGGTGGTGACTGGGCTCATCCTCATTGCTGTGGTGGTCATCATGGTGATGGTGAGCATCATTGTCATCATCCTCCTCCTCCTCAGAATCATAGTGGTGGTGGTGCCTGTTACCAAGCAGATGCTCTTTGTCACTGTGATGATGATGCTCCTTGTAGTGATGGTGGTGCTCCACCTCCTCCTCCTCATCATTGTGGTGATGGCCATGGTGGCGGTGTTCATCGTCATCATAGTGATGGCCATCATGATGGTGTTCCTCCTCGTTGTGGTGATGATGTTCTTCATCATGGCTGTAGGGATGCCCCTCATCGCCATAGTGATGGCTGTGCTGGTGCTTTCTGTCGTCATGGTGATGGCTGTGGTGCCCATGTTCCCTGTTATGCTGAGGGTGTTCTGCATCCTGATGGCTGTAATCACCGTGGTGATGTGGGTGCTCTATGTCATCATGGGGATGGGGCCCAGTGTCTCCATGCACCTCGAGAGGCTGCAGGGAGTACAAGAGGGCCAGCAGCAGGCCCAGGTGCCAGGCGGAGAGGGGGGCCATGGCTCAGGCAGGCAGTGCTGTAAGGGGACTGGTGCAGCTGAGATCCGTGCCGGCCCCAGCCCTGGATGGCTCTGAGAGACGGGCCCAGGTGCCCCACGTAACCCTACAGCCCCAGCCAATGGCTGCCAGCCCAGCCCCCACCACCCTGTCATGGCCTTATACGAGCTGATGCCCCCTGGCCTGGCTAAAATTAGCTCGCCCCTTCCCCCTCCTCAGTAGCAGCTGCATCACCCTGGGGGGGGGGGGGGGGGGGGGGGGGAGGGGAGGCTGGCAGAGGGACCCAGCACCTGCCCCAACACCTGGATTTCCTCCCAGCTCTGGGTGGGGAGCAAGGTCTGGTGTGTTAGAGAGAAATACCTTGGGACCAGGACACCTGGGTTCTAGGCACAGCATTCTGATCTTTCTAGGGGAGGGGGTTGTTCCCTGGTATACAGCTTGTCCCAGCCCCTAAGTCCCTCCTGCCTTGAGGGGAACCTGGCTTCTGGGCAAGAATGTGCTGATCCAACCCAAGGGGAAAGGGCTGCAGCTGGTAACCGGATCCTGGGATCAGAGCTAAATATAGCACCTCCCCACCCCCACCCCAGCCTGGGAGCCAGGCAAAGGGCTGCTGGGCACTCCCAGGGCAAAGGGATCAGGGACAAGGGTCCGCCAAAGACCTTGTCACATTTTCCAGTGTGGCTATGCAAGAATCCCCAGCAGGGGGTTGACACAGCTGGGCACAAGGTGCCCGGGGCATGACCCCCAGACACCTGGGTTCCTTCCCAGCTTTGGAAGGGGAGTGGGATGTGGTGGGTAGGACCAGGTGGTGGTGCTGGGAGCCAGGACACCTGATCTACCCTGGCTCTGAGAGTGGATCGGGGTCTTTTGGGATTCTGTCCTGCATCTGGGAATGGGGAGGGGGGAGGATTGGATTGGGGTTGGGTTGTGAACCAAGACTCCTGGATTCTGCCCAGGTGTTGGCCAAAGTGGCAAGTGCAAAGCCAGCATACATGGAAACGCACACACCACACCCTCCCCTCCCCCACCCTACCACAACACACTGAAAGGGCCTGGCAGAAACACATGGCCTTATGGGCAGTGTCTGCTGGGGATGGAGGGGGTCACTGTGGGTTTGAGCTTGGTACAATAGCCTCATGGCTGCCCTGAGTTCCCTGGGGAAGGCTGGAAACGGGGAGTCCCTTCAGATCAGGGCTTCGTCCCCAACCCACCAGCACCCTTCCGAGGGGGGAGGGCTGAGTTTAGGGACCCTGAGAGTTGGGAGGACTGCTCCCTCCACTAGGGCAGGCATCCCACTCCCCCCATGCCCTGGCCTCTTCCTCCATACTCTATCCCTGCCCCTTGCACTAGGCCATGCCCCCTATGGTGGGCCCTACCCCCATGATTCCAACCCCGCCATCCCCTAAACTAGGCAAGCCCTTCTTCATGCCATATCCCCCTATGCTAGACCCTGCCCCCTATGCCAGACCCCGCCCCCATGTCAGGCCCGCCCCATGCCACCTCCCTGCCCCAGGTGATAAGCAAAGGGTACAGGGAAGGACTGTTCAAGGTGGAGCAGACTGTTTTCCTTGGCAGGGCAGCCCTAGCCCGCACCTTCCCCCCCGCAGCCCCTGACCCTGGGCAGGGGGAGCTGTCCTCCCCCCTACTCCACACACTCTCTGCTCCTCCCCCCCACCATGAGCTCAGGCCCCAGCCCTGACTCAGGCTGCACCCTAGGGCTCTGGGTGGGGTCCTGAGATCCTGCTGGGCCGGTTCTGCCAGGGTGGGGCCAGTTCGCAGGCAGGGCCCCTGACAGCTGCCTCCTGCCTCTGGGCCTGTGGGTGCCGCCAGCTGGGCCCTGGCACTTGCACACGTGGCTCCACAGCCCCAGCCAGGGAGAGTGGGGGGGCTGCCTGGCACCATGACCAGCATCAAGAGGCAGGACCAGGTATAGAAGCTCCCCCCGACATGCATCCTCTCCCCCCACCCCCACTAGAGCCTGGGGTGGGGCAGGACATGGGGCACCAGGCATGGAGCCTGGAGGGAAGAAGGGTGGCTGTAGTCGAGATGGGGGGACACAAAGGGGCTGGGACAGGGTTGGGAGGTCCCTGGAGTGGGAGGCCATGGTGAGTGGGGGGCAGGACTGTGAGGGTGTTTCTGGAGTGAGAGGGACTTTTGGGGGGTCTTGAGGAGTTTCCTCTGGGTTGGAGGGTGCTGGGGCAGGGCCTAGGGATGGAGTGGGGGCTGGGGGGGCCTGAGGGATTCTCTCTGGGTTGTGGGGGCTGGGATAGAACTGGGGGGTTCTCTAGAGTGGTGGGTCTGGAGGATTTGAGAGGTTGTCTCTGGAGCTTGGGAGATCTGATGGGTTCTCTCTGGGTTGGGGGCTGGGGCAGGGATGGAGGGTTCAGGGGGGGTCTGAAGGGTTCTCTCCTGGGTAAGCGGGGCTGGGGGGAGAGCTGGGGTTGTCTGAAGTTAGAAGGAACTTATAGGTTCTCTTTGGGTTGTGGGGACTGGGGCAGACCTGGAGGGGGTCTCTGGAGTAGATGGGGCTGGGAGCCTGGAGGGTTGTCTCTGGAGGGGGCTGCTCTCTGGGTTGGAGAAGCTGGGCAGGGCTGGGGGGGTGCTTCTGTTCTGACCCCTCACCACGCTCTGTTCTCACCCACCCCCAGGCCTGGATCCCCAAACTCTTCAAGAAGAAAACCTGCACATCATTTGTGGAGGCACCTCCAGCCCCGGGGTAAGATGGATCCAGCCCTTCCTCCCCCCAAGCCCCCGTCATGGGGCTGCCCCCGCTCTGCAAACAACCCCCCCCCAGGAGGAATGGAGCCCCCTGAGCTCTGCCCCCTTGGTCCCCATCCCTTCCCCAGCGGGGTGATGTCAATCCCAGGTCCCCATTTTAGGGGCTGTCATGACTGGTGCCCCCAGGAGCTTCCCAATGCCCAGCAGGTTCCCCCTCTGCACCTCCTCCTGCCTGTGGGTGGGAGGGGCAGCAATGGGGGCTCCCACCCTGCAGCCCCTAGTGCCCCTGTGACCTCTGTGACCCCTGCCTGCTTCCCAGAGCCCCTTCCATGTGCCAGTGTGGGAACCCCAGGGACAAGCACGTCTCGGTGGCTGTGGAAGATGCCTTTGGCGCCTCCATTGTCAGCAAATGGGACTCAGCTCAACACACCACAGAACAGCCCACTGATGCCTATGGAGAGGTGGAGTTCGTGGGCACCCGGGGCAAGCCCAGCAAGGTGAGGGGCTGCAAGGTGGGCGTGAAGGGCACTAGCAGGTCTGGGGGGAGGAGTGAGGGGTACCACAGGGCTGGGGTGGGGCAGGGGGCTGGGGGGCAGGGGCGAGGAGGACCCCTAGATCTGTCCTTCCTCCCCACCACCACCCTCCTAGTTCATCCGCGTGTCAGACTGCACGGACCCTGCAGCCGCCTACAGCTTGGTAACCTGCTGCTGGAAGATCCCCCCTCCCAACCTGGTGGTGTCAGTGGTGGGGGGTGACAATGACATTGCCATCCGGACCCAGGTGAAGGACATGCTGCGCAAGGGGTTGGTCAAGGCAGCACAGAGCACAGGTGGGTGTCCCCCTTCCTTCCCTAGGGTTAGGACATTTGGGGGTGGGGGGGGGAGTTAGGGATGGGGGGGCGGTGATACACAAGGATGCACAGATGCCTGGTGCTCTAGTGCACACAAGTGCATGCAAATGCCAGCATACACCTGTCCTTTACATGTGCAAGACTTGCACACGCTCACAGGGAAGAGCCTCCCTCGTATGTGCATGCCCTGGGGCTCCATCATACATGTGGCCTGGGGGAAAGGAGTGTCCTTGTGCAAGAGTATCTGCACGTGTGTATGCCTTGCCATGCACAGTGATGTGCACCATGATGCAGCCAGAGGTCTGCCAGTGCGTGTATGTGGAGCCCTCCCTGTGCATGTTTGTCTACACACTTACACTTAGTGGCTGGCTCAGACACATGTACACACACTCTGTCACTCCCTCCAGAGTGCACAGAGTTCCTTGGTGCACAGCCATGCCATCTCCCTTAAGCTTGTAGAGGGCCTAGCATGTACAGTGTACACTTGTCCTGTACTTGTTGCACACTCAGGGTGTTCCTGGTTTGCCCTTGTTGTACTTAGGAGGTACATGTGGTCCACATCCATTTTAAGCTTGCTCCACACTTGGTGCATGCTTACGGCATGCTTGTTGCATGCAGACTGCATGCCCTTTGTATGTGCCACGCACACCCTTTACACACTCATTGCACACCCACTGCATGTGCTGTGCACACTCACTGCATGCTCACTGCACATCCATTGCATGTACAGTGCACACTCACTGCATGCTCTTTGCATGGTTGCTGCACATCCCTTGCACATACCGTGCACTTTTACTACATACTCATTACACCCTCAATGCACACTGCAGCACACCCATTATACATGCTGTGAATGCTGTTTGCACACTCCCTGCATGCTCACTACACATCCATTGCACGCTCACTGAAAACTCACTCCATGCTCCCTGCACATCCATTGCAAGCCCTTTGTGTGTGCTGTGCACACTCATTGCACAGTCCATGTACACTCAGTGCCTGCTTATCGATTGACTCTCACATGCTCAATGCACGTTCCTTGCACTTGTGCACCTGCATACACAACCATGGCCCTGGGCCAGCACTGCACTGTTCCTGGCCTCAGTCACTGTTGTTAGCATGCATCTGTTTCCCCCTTCTCCCACAAGAAGGGTCAGGGCCCTGCCCATATGTCCCATATCTACGTGCGACCCAGCAGCAGGGAGCACTGTGCCCAGGGCAGTCCAGGGAGCCCTGTCCAGGCTTGGTGGGGAGGGGGTCCTTGGAAGTGTCATGTAGCATGGCTCATGATGTGAGCATGTCCATGCTTGGGGGGAGGGACTCTGGGCATGTATAAGCCCCCTCTCCCCCAACAGGTGCCTGGATCATGACCGGGGGGCTTCAGGCTGGGATTGGGCGCTACGTGGGGGAGGCCGTGCGGGATCATGCCACAGCCAGCACCAGCCCCAGTGCCCGTGTTGTGGCCATGGGCATCGCCCCCTGGGGCATGGTTGCCAACCAGGACCAGCTAATCAACCCCAAGGTGTGTGTGGGAGTAAGCAGAGGGCATGGGGGTCTTGGGGCAAAGAGGGCTGGGGAAGGGGGCAGGGCGTACTGGGGCAGAGGGGGCTGAAGGTACTGGCAGCCATGGGCGTTTGCAGGAGGGGGTGCTGGAGGCAGAGGGGGCTGGAAGCACTGAGGGGGGCAGGAGCTGGGGGCAGGGGGTGCTGAGGCCTCGCTTATGGGGGCTGAAGGCTGTGGAACAGGGGGCAGAGGTATGGGAGGGCAGGGATCACTGGGTGTCTGGTGGGTTAGGTGCTATAGAGGGCTTGGGGGCAGGGGAAGGTAGGTGGTGCTGGGGAAGACAACTTAGGGCATGTCTGGGGAATGGTGGGTGCTGAGTCAGGGTCTCATGGAGGGTGAGGAGCAGCCCTGTGGGTGCCTGGCTGACTGGCCCCTTTCATTCCCTGCCCCGCCAGGGCTCATTCCCTGCCCGGTATGTCCGGCCCCTGCCCACCCCCGAGGCCACCTGCACAGCCCTGCCCCTGGACAGCAACCACTCGGCCTTCTTCCTGGTGGATAATGGGACCCACGGGCACCCAGGGGGCCAGAACCGCTTCCGCACCCGCCTGGAGGGACACATTGCCCAGCAGTGTGTGGGCACCAGCGGTGAGTACCTGGCCTGGCTGGGCCACAGGTACCATGGTTACTTCACCCTCCTACAGGTGCCATGGTTACCCCCAGACCATGGTTACCTTCCCCATCCAAAGTTACAGTGATTCTCTCCTACACCACCACTACCATCTTTGTTACCATGGTTACCCATCCCAAACTACAGAAAACCTGGACCAGACCATGGTTACTGTGGTTACCACCCCCACTCCTGGTTACTACTCCCCTTCCCCCTGGCCACTTATAACACTTATCTCCCCTACAGGCCACTGTTACCATGGTTACCCCTCCAAGTACAGTTCCTCTCTGGTTGTTCCTAGTTACCTTCCAGTACCTAGTTGCTTCTCCTCTCTATTCTGTGGTTACCATGGTTACCCCTCACACTGGTTACAAGGACTGGCCATTCCCTCCCCCCCCAGCCTGGTTACTATGGTTACCCCTTCTCTTGTCCCACAGTTACCATGATTACCCCTCACCCTGGTTATGAAGACTGGCCATTCCTCTCCCCTAGCATGGTTACCATGATTACCCTGGTTCCATGGTTACCATAGTTACCCCTCCATGCTTAACCTCAGGACTATTGTTTTCCCCTCCCCCCTGCAGGACAGGGCAGCATCCAGATCCCTGTGCTGGTGATGCTCATCGGGGGTGATGCCTCCATGTTCACGGTACTGGGGGAGTGGCGTGCAAATCCCAGGGACCAGAGATGGGGGTGGGGGAGGGTCTGTGGGGTCCATAGTGGGTAGGGCACCAGCCCCTGGGGCAGTGGGGGGAGCAGGTTGACACAGGGTCCACAAGCGGGGGGCGGTCCCTGGTGGCTGCTGAGTGTCTCCACCCCACTCTCCCCCATCTTGCCCCTCAGCGTGTGTTGGAGGCTGTCCAGGCATCCATCCCCTGCCTGCTGGTGGGGGGCTCTGGGGGAGTGGCTGATTGCCTAGCCCAGGTGCTGGCTGAGACCCAGCCTGGGGAGCCCGTGCGGGCACTGGCACAGGAGAAGATGCAAGACCGTTTCCCGCCCAACGACCTGCTACATCTGGCCGAGCAGGTACTGCAACTGGGGACCCAGGTGTCTGGGCAGATTGTGGGGTGCAGGGATGGACATAGAGCCCCAGGCATCCGTGTGAACAAGGGTGCATGGGGGGACCCAGGTGTCCTAAAATCATAGAGAAGCAGGGCTGAAAGGGACTTCCAGAAGTCAGCTAGTCCAACCCCTGCCTGGGTGGGATTTAATGTCAGCCTTCAACTACCTGAGCGGGGTTTCAAAGAGGAGGGAGCTGGACTGTTCTCAGTGATAGCAGATGACAGAACAAGAAGCAATGGGCTCAAGTTTGAGGGAGGGAAGTTTAGGTTAGATATTAAGTAAAACTTTCTCACTAGGAGCCTTGGCTGGGATGATCTAGTTGGGGCTGGTCCTGTTTTGAGCAGGGGGTTGGACTAGATGTGACCTCATGAGGTCCCTTCCAACCCTCATTTTCTACGATTCTATGACCACAGCAGCCAACGTCCTGCTGCTGTAAAAGGTTGTTAATCCAATATATGCACAGGAGAACCAAGGCAGAGGCTATGTCTCCTGGTACAAAGGAAGACACCCCCCCGAGTCTGCACCAACCTGACCAGGGGTAAAATTAATTCCTGACCCAACTATGCTGATTGGTTTGACCCTGAGTGGAGGGGCCAGACTCTCTAGCCAGGAACCTTCAGCCTAGTCCCATCAGGAGCTCTGGCGCAGCCCAGTCACAGTTCCCAGCCTGGGCTGCAGCCAACACCCAGGGCCTCTGAGGGAGGCTTAAAAACATCCTGACACTTGTTATAGAAAGTGGGGAAGGAACAAGTGGCAAAGCCCAGAAGCCTGAGAAATCCCCATAGCAGAACACAGGCAGAGCTACACCTAGATCATCCCTGACCAGTGCCTGTCCAACCTCTCCTTGAACTCCTCCAGTGATGGAGCGTGCACAGCTCCCTTAGTCAATCTAATCCACTGACTCACTGCTCTAACAGTGAAGTGTCCTGGCAATGGTGGTGGTTGGAGACCCACATACTGGAGGGACAGGGTGCTTGAGGACCCAGATGTCTGGGATGAACAGTAGGAGGAGTCTGGGTTGGGGGAGAAATGGGAAGTGACAACCTCAAGTGGAACCCAGGCATCCTGTGGGGTGAGTGGATGATTGGAGGTGCAAGATCCCTGGGACAGGTCCTAAAGGAGGGGTCAAGGATGGGGTCCAGAAGTGGGGATGGGCATGGGGGGTATCAGGAGCATCAGGGTCAGCAGTCCCTCTAAGCTACATGGTGTGTGCAGCCACACAGGCGCGCCTGGCATTGCGGCATGAGTGCGTCTGCCTGGCCATGCATACCACACAGCTTAGAGGGAATGCTGATCAGGGTCCCTCCACAGTGATGGGGTAGTTGGGGTGCTAGGAGGGGGGATTCCCAACACTGATGGAAGGGGCATCAGAGACCTGGAGGGAGCACAGAAGAGATCCATGGTGGGGCTGAGGCCCCAGGACAGAAATAGGAGTCCAGGAGGGTGTCTGACCTGCCCACACACCCACCACCATCACAGGTGGAGAACATCATGGCGCTGCGGGACCTCGTCACTGTCTACTCTGATGAGGAGGGGATGGACGAATTTGAGACCATCCTGCTTAAGGCACTGGTGAAAGGTGAGACCACCCCCCTCCCCGACTCCCAACAGGACCTCCTCCTTGGGCACCTGGTGCTTGGCCCCAGACAGCATGTGCCCCTGCCCACTCCCCTCCAAGTACCTAGTGAGGGGCTGAGCTCTGAGTGACCCAGATGGGGAGAAGCTGAGGGTCCAGCCCCCTTGGCCAGAGGGGTCTTGAACCCATGCCACCCCCCAGAAGAGACCCTGGTGCCCTGGCCAGCACTGGGTTGAGTGGGAGCCCCTGTCCACCCCTTTTGAGCCCCAGGGGCAAGAAGCCTGGGGCACGAGGGAGACAGCCAGAGGCCTGGCTTGGTCAGACATGGGTTCAAATTCCCTCAGGCCAGGCCCCTCCCTGGGCTAGTGTCTCCCTCCACTGGGATGATGGAGCTCCCCACACCATCACCAAGCATCTGCACTGGGGAAGCAAATCCAGATAAGCCCCAGAGTGGAGGGGCAACACCATTCATACAGGATTGGAAGGGGGGAGCCATATCAGGGGTGCTGGGGGGCAAGTGACCCCCTCCCCCCACAATCCACTCCCTTCCCAGCCTGCCGGCACACTAGCGAAGCCACCCAGTACCTGGACGAGCTGCGCCTGGCTGTGGCCTGGAACCGGGTGGACATCGCCAGCTCCGAGCTTTTCCAAGCTGATGTCCACTGGAAGGTGAGTCTCATTTGGTGGGGAGGGGGAGCTGGCAGGTGTCCCCCTCTTGTCCCAGGGGCCTAGAGGGGGATGAGTCTGGAGAACAAGGACCGACCTTGGAGGAGGAGCTGAGAGTGGGGACTCCCTGAGAGCTGGGTGGTTCTCAGGGAAGAAGTTGGGAGTGGTGAGCCCCCAGCCCCTTGAGCTGAATGGGGGAAGGGGGCACCAATGTTGGGGTGGGTACTAGTGTGTGCTGGACCATGGCTAATGATGCTCTCTTTTCTCTCCCTCCCCCCCACACCTGTGACCCTTTGACGCCACCCCATCCTCCCTGCACCGCATCCTCCACCCCTCTGCCCCCAAACTTGCTCCCCACCCTGGCAGCCCTCCCTGCTGGTAGACCCTATGCGTGATGCGCTGCTGGGGGACCGCCCAGAGCTGGTGCGCCTCCTGGTAGAAAATGGATTGGACGCAAGCGAGTTCTTGACCTGGGGGCGCCTGGAGGAGCTGTACAGGGGTGCCCCTGAGACCTCGCTGCTGTGCCAGCTCCTGGAGCGGCGCCAGGGGAGCACTGAGCCCCCACCCTCCCACTATTTGCCCCTGGGCACGCGTCCCCATGATAGCCGCCTGCCCCAGGTGGCTCGCATCCTGCGAGAGCTTCTGGGAGATGCCTGCACTCCCTTTTATGCTGCTGCTGGGCACAAGGGGGCTGGGGTATGTAGGAGGCAGTGGGGGGACATGGGAGAGGCAACGTATATCTTTTGCACTGGGCTGCAGCCCCCTGGGTGCACTGTGGGGGGCATTACTGTGGGGGGTAGGAGGTGGGGGGAACTGGGCTGTAGTCCTCTGAGGGTACAGTGGGGGGGAGGGGCAGTGCACTAGCCACAGTGCCAGCCTGGATCCCCTGAGGTTCCCAGGAAGCAGGAGGGCATGGGGGTGGGGGGGACAGAGGGAAGACACGATGTGGGGCAGGTGGAGGGATGGAGGGGCTTGCTTATGGACAGGGGGTGCCACAGATGGGTGGGGCTAGGGAGCTGGGCAGGCAGTGGGGTACTCACTGCCCCCCTCTTCCCTCCAGCATAAAGGGGCCGTGGAGGACAGGGACCCCCTGTACTACAGCCAGCAGTCCCCAAACCCCTGGACTGACCTCTTCATCTGGGCCTTGCTGCTGAACAGGGGCGAGATGGCCATGTATTGCTGGGAGATGGTGAGGGGTCGGTCAAGGGAACATGGGGTAGGAGGGACCCTAGGGAGGGGCATGGAGGGCACGGGGGGGGGGGGGGGGGGGGCACCGGGGGCCC